GGACGTAGACATCCGCAAGGACCTCTACAACAACATCGTCCTCTCTGGGGGCACCACCATGTTCGCGGGCATCGCTGACAGGATGACCGCTGAGGTGGCCTCCCTCGCCCCAGCTGCGATCAAGGTCAAGGTAAGGGTGGGCCAAGATAAGAGTGGGTCAAGGTAAGGGTGAGTCAAGGTGATGGTGGGTCAAGATGAGAGTGGGTCAAGATGAGAGTGGGTCAAGATGAGAGTGGGTCAAGATGAGAGTGGGTCAAGATAAGGGTGGGCCTAGGTGAGGATTTGTTTAAGGTAAAGGTGAGTCAATGCAAATACCGCGTACCAGGTATCCTGTTTTGGTTTGTTATTGTTGTTGTTGTTGTTGTTGTTGATGTTCTTGTTGTTGTTATTGTTGTGGTTGATGTTTTTGTTGTTGTTGTTGTTTTTGTTTGGGGGAGGGGCTGTATTTACCCACGTGCGACTTGAATTCTAAATTTTACACGAAATTCTAAAGGAATCCGCGAATTCAAGTTGGTGCGGTAGTGAAATGTTATAAAGGGATGCTACTGAACAAAAACTCAAGCGCACAACAATTTACATACACTGGGTGATTCAAATCGGGAATTCAGAACTAAAACGCTTGCCAAAATCGAAATGGGCAAAACGAGACAAAAGAGTATACTGAAAAAAAACCAACCTAATACCACCGCCCCCCCCCCCCCCCACCCCCTCCCAAAAACAACAACAACAACAAAAACAAACAAAGAACAACAACAGCAACAACAACTACAACAACAACATCAGCAGCGGCAGCAACAGCAACAACAAAAACAACAACAACAGCAATATCAACAATCGTTGTATAGACGATAGAATGAAGCGAATTTCCTCTTTATCTATCCTTTTTGGAAATGTGCCTTGCGGTGTACTACATATTATAGCGTTTTGGCTCACAGATGGTGCACTATGCTTCAAGACGAGCCTTTTTAGTGCACCTTTAAGAAAAGAGTCTTAAGTGCCTTATTCATGCAAGTTAAAATAATTATCAGTTTCGTTTACTTTATCTGAAACGGGAAAAATGCAGGCTACAACATTCATACGAATAAATGTACGAATTTAATTTTCCTTTTCTTAGTTTCTGTAAAATAATCCAGATGTTAATATAACAATACATTGCTTATGAGTTAAAACCCTCGTTTTGGACACCATCCTAACAAATCGCTTCCTGATAATAACAAAGTTATATCTCGCAATTTTTGGCCGTTTTGAATTACTAATACCATGAGTTAAGAAACCAAATTTGTTCTATTTGCTATTCCAAAATCGTAAGATTATTCAGAGTCGTTATCGAGATATGCAAAGAACTGCATTCGAAAATGCTTGACATGTTCTGAAAATCAACATTTTTTGACGTCACTTTTCTCAAAACTAGGTACTGAACAGATAGAACTTTGTAATTTTAGGTTAGTGAAATAGAGACATATCAATGGAAACGAAAACCCCAACTCCATAAGACATTTAAAAATCTAGCAAGAAGAAGAAGAGAAAAAGAAATTATGGTGGTGAAGAAGTAATGCGATGAAAAAAGAACCTTCATAATAATAATAATACACTCACAGGAAGACACATACTCAGATAGATACACATTCGCCCACACACACACACACACACACACACACACACACACACACACACACACACACACACACACACACACACACACATCGCACACATAAACAGACATATACACAGACACACATAAACAGACACACACATACTCAAAGAGAGAGAGAGAGAGAGAGAGAGAGAGAGAGAGAGAGAGAGAGAGAGAGAGAGAGAGAGAAGCACACGCATTACCACACATCTGACAATACACTCATAAATAATATCCACATGACCCCCCCCCCCCCCCCACATTGTCCCTTCAGAAACGCTGAACTCTATATTGTTTTCAGGTGATCGCACCCCCAGAGCGGAAATACTCTGTCTGGATCGGAGGCTCTATCTTGGCATCTCTCTCCACCTTTCAACAGATGTGGATAAGTAAACAAGAGTTTGATGAGGCTGGCCCAGCTATAGTACATAGAAAGTGTTTCTAACAACAGATCCTATTATAGTCCGGCTTACTGTCTATTTCGTAGCTCACCCAACTAATGTGTAATGAGATATAAGCGTACCAAATATTTTACTAACTTATACAAAATAATTATCCTGCTGTCAATTTCCTTATTATTCCGTTCGTCTTTTCTACTTTGTTTCACTTGACTTGAAAATGCAAATTGAATACATGTTTTCTGTTATCTTGTTCCAATCCTTCTCAAAATCATTGCACTCTCTTCTAACCATTTCATTATTTTCTTATACTTTTCCATGTCGCGAGAAGGGACATAGTTTAAACATATCACCACCTTAGAATAACAAAGATCAATCTGACTTTTTTGGCCGTTTTTGAGTTACTGAGACCATGCGGACAGAAACCAAAATATGTTCTGTTTGCTCTGTTAAAATTGTAAGATTATTCGGAGTCGTTATCAGTATATAGTATATTTAAATAATTGCCTTTGAAAAAGCTTGACATGTTATGAACTCAACATTTCTGACTTCAAATCTCCCCCCCCCCTCCAAAAAAACCCCACAAACCCCACAAACAAACAAACAACACCCCCCCAACACTCCCTCCCCCCCCCCCCCC